TAATAATTTAAAAGAGTAAAAGACATTTTTAGTCCTAAATTTATAGTGGCTTGGACAATTTTAGTCCTTTATAAAAAAATTTGCCATTTTATGGACAAAGTTATTGTGGCAAGGACATTTTTGGTCCTCCGTCTATATTTCTGTTAGATAACCGTCTGAGAGAGGGGTAATTACATCAATTTAGGCTATCTCCTTCTATCTATTAGATCTATGTGTCTTTTGTTTTCTTCTCGGTCATAATTCGAAGGAGTCGGAGAGTCCAAGTTGCAATTGTACGAAGAAATTACCAGAGAATCGAAGCCGCCAAACAGGTTACTAATCAAATAGATAGAAAGAGAATTGAAGCCGCCAAACACACATAGATATAATAGATAGAAGGAGATTGTCGAAATTGACGTAATTTCCCCTCTCTCATACGGTTATCTAACAGAAATATAGACGGAGGACCAAAGATGTCCTCGTCACAATAACTCTGTCCACAAAATGGCAAATTTTTTTATAAAGGACTAAAATTGTCCAAGCCACTATAAGTCTAGGACCAAAAATGTCTTTTACTCTAATTTAAAATATCAATTTCCATTCATAATCTCCCTAATCTAATGCTTAAGATTCCAATTGAATTATATCCATAATTAAACATATATCTACAATTACTATTTAATCCTTTTGATTCAAATATATCCTTAATTACTTTCACAATCTCTTATAATCTCAACCATTTATGGAAAATGAATCAATGGATATCATGAGATCTCATGATCTCATCTAGTATAGGAGTTGCACATATTCGAAGCCTATATATATATATATATATATATATATATATATATATATATATATATATATATATATATATATATATATATATATATATCTCCAGTTCATATGAAAACCACACCACTGGTGAGAACCTGTGGACAAATCCAAGCCATCAATCTGGAAGATCTAATGGATAGGAAATAAAGTAAAAAAGGAGCGAGGTTATTTTTATAAATATTTCAAACTTTTGAAATTTGTACATGGATGTAAATTTCTTTGATAATTTGTGTGTAATGGTGCGAGAAAATAATTTCTTATATTTTAAAGAAATTTTAAATTTGGCGCCAAGATAGATAAATACGTAATTGAACAAATTTTGTAGATCCTCAAGTCACCTGAGAAAAAGAATCTGACCCATTTAGTGAGATTTACTTTTCTTGATATCATGTAGTTTTATTCTTAGTTGACCAAAAATTTTCTAATAAGTCAAAGATTGCATGAAACGTGATAATTTGCAAGACCGTTTTTCACAAAATGGCTATAATACCCCCAAATTCTAAATACAAAAAACCAAAGAAATACATAAGCGAATTCAAAACTTTAAACTCAGTGGGGTGTTCTGCCACGCTTAGGTTACTCTAAACCCAAACGCACAGGCTTATAAGGTTCTAACTGCAAATCCATATACAAGGTACAAAACAACTAACTATAGAACATTTTAGGTTCTACTTCAATCAACTATACGATCCATACTAGATCGCGTACTCTCGGGAAACATCTCTAAGCCAACCGGAAATCATTTTAGAAAGATTAGCGAATAATACTAAGTAAATCCACTCCAACATGTAAAACTACGTACATATACTTTTATATTCAAATAAGTTTTGCAGCGGTATGACCACACACACACACACGCACACAAATAAAGCTCAATTCTATGGGTACTAGGCTCATTTCAAGAGAGACAAGGGAGACAAGCTCATATCAACATAGATTTAAGATATCAATACCAAAGCATAAACAAGATAGAATTCCTAGAGTTCTCACATCAACAAGTTACAGTGGTGTATATATATATATATATATATATATATATATATATATATATATATATATATATATATATATATATATAGCCAAGGAGTTTATATAACAATAGCCAAATGCTCAATTATCATATCAATATCCAATTGTACTCCAATCCAACCTTTACACCAAAAGTCTAATATGTACAACAGTCCAACCTTATCCACCAAAGTGAAGCCTAAGCTTCTTTCGCCGAATAAAGTGGAGCCGAAGCTCTCCAATTCCGCCAAACAAAGTGGAGCCGAAGCTCTCCAATTCCGCCAAACAAAGTAGAGCCAAAGCTCATATCCACCAATCTCAATAATACAATATAATCAAAGAAGTGTATATATATACATAACCACATATAACACACCGACCAAATGGATCCCAAGGGATTAAGATTCAATGTAGAATAACGATTCATTAACGAGGGAAAGGAATATACAATGTACTAAAATATCTCAACGATGCACCAAAGACAGATTAACAATGCACGAGGAATCAAAGGAATGCATTCTGAAAATGCATAGGACTCAACAGGTCTGAGTGACGGGGGCAGGAGGCCCGTCGTGCACTCCCGTGACGGGTGTGGGTGGCGGGCTCAACCTCCCTACCACTCACCCCTGCAACATACCTTGCGGGGCTATCTCACGAGGCCAACCACCCGTGACACGCACCCACAAGGCCAAAAACATTACAACAGACAGTAGCTCAACCGAATAAATTTCCAATGGAACAGTAACAATTTTCATCACTTCAGAAATTAAAATATCAACAAGAAATCTCTCCAAACAAAACCAAAACACTAATAAAACATAAGGAATCAAGAATAGACATCATAGCTCAATAATAACACAAAGAACACTAAAAACAAGACTTAATTATTTCACAAAAATAACATCGAGATCATACTCATGGATTTCCAAGAACATTTATATAAGTTGGAAATAGATTTTGATGGAATGGAGTTTACCTTTTGAAGCTAGCTAACCCAAACCTCAAACACCAAGCATCAACCTAGCAACTCATCTCCACCTTGATCATCTAGAAACCCAAAACCCACCATACAAAAAGGGTAGGAATCATAAAGATGGTGAACCAAACATAAGGAATATGGAATAGAAGGAAAGGTCTTACCATTATCTAGCTTGAAAGACAATAAAGGATGGATCTTTCTTGATTTCTTGAAGATAGATGAAGGATGAATATTTGGTAGAAGGGAGAAGGAAATGGCGTGACATTGAAGAAGAAGAGGGAAGTGAGAGAGTGTGTTATGTCTAGGTTATATTATATCTTGTATGGATAGAATAGGATAGATATACATATGTATATGCATTAGCGTAGAAGAATAGGAATTTGGGCTCTTATATTATGTATAGGATTTGTATAGGTATATTGGGCCATAAAATCAAATAATAAGTAAGAGAATAGATCAAAGCCCACAATAAAAATACGTGTATATATATATATATATATATATATATATATATATATATATATATAGACTAGTAACAATCGTTATGCTATGGAACCGTGTCCAGCATGTATGCCGGACACGGTAACGCTGCCGTTAGTGGCACCGTTCTCTTTCACTTTTTTTTTTTAAGAAAAAATTACAGACCACTTTGTTATAGGAGTATATGTTCATAATTGTAAGTTCATAATGTCAGAGCTCTGTGTTCATATTGCATAACTGTACATTCATAATTGCATAACTGTACATTCATAATTGCATAACTGTACATTCATAATTCAATAATTGTAAATTCATAATTTTCGAAACTCTATGTTCACAATTTTAGAGCTCTATGTTCATAATTTTATCACTATATGTTCATAATTATAAGTTCATAATGTCAGAGCTCTGTGTTCATAATTCCATAACTTACATTCATAATTCCATAACTGTACATTCATAATTGCATAACTGTACATTTATAATTCCATAACTGTACATTCATAATACCACAAAAGAATAACGTCTTTAACGGCGAGACAAAATCAATTTTTTTTTTTAACTAGAAGGTCGCGTTTTCCCTTAAGACGACGTCGTTTTGGACTCGTGTCGACAATACATTGTGGACACGAGTCTACAGCATAATTTGCGGACTAGTAAGGATTGGACTTGATTTAGAAATATCCTAAGAATTATTTTTAATTAAAGAATTGGACTAAACAAGAGAATAAATTGCCTCTTAGAAAATAATTACGGTGGGAGAACCCGGTATAAAATATACGGAGTGACAACGGTTCTTAATATAAATTAGGAATAAGGGTCAAATAGGCCATCCAACTGCACACAATAATTCAATTAGGCCACTGAACCTAAAAAACTAACAATTGGGTCCCTAAACTAACCAATTTCAAACAATTCTTCCAATTTGAAGGTTTCCAACAGGTCAACAGGTCATCCTTCCAAATTAATTATTTTTTAAAAATAAATTTTTAAAATTAATTATTTAAATTTAAAAAAATATTTAAAAAACAAAAAAAAAACAAAAAAACTGGACTGGCCGGAGACAACGTATGTTTTTTTTTTAAACAAAATTTAAAATTAATTATTTTTTAAAATTTATTTTTTTTAAAAAATAATTAATTTGAGAGGATGACCTGTTGACCTGTTAGAAACCTTGAAATTGGAAGAATTGTTTGAAATTGATTAGTTTAGGGACCTAATTGTTGGTTTTTTAGGTTCAGTGGCCTAATTGCATTATCCTGTGCAGTTCGATGGCCTATTTAACCCTTATTCCTATAAATTAATATCATTTTAGATCAAACTTAACCATATAATGTTGGATCTGATCCATATATGATATATTTTGTCATATTTGTTTTCCTAAATGATATGCCAAACACACCTATCTCGATCTTACTTACTATATTAGGAAATAAAAAAATAATAATATAATATACCCTTATTCCAAACGGTTTCTATGGTTCATGTTGGAGCACAAATCATGGAAACTATAATGCGCCACCCAGAGAAAGGTGACTGCTAGCTAGCAAGAGATTCAACGCGGTGGAGCAGCCAATGCTGACTGGCTGACTCAATGCAATACTATAATATACGTACCATTATTGTAGTTTATAGTTTTTAGAATGCATTGTTTTCCTCGATATACATATATAAATATGAGTGTATGGTGGCATCTGCTATTCTCAATCATCTTCACTTTGCATTATATTTCCATTACCCATATATACATAATACACATACATTCTCTTCATTCACGTCAAGAGAAACCCGAGAAAAGTTAGTCCAATTTTCTCAACATTAATATTAATAGATATGAGTTACCATAATCATTTCTTTGTAGCTATGGCTACCGTGTTTTATGTCCTTTTGGTTTTGAATGTCTCATGCAAAGCACAACTTTCTTCCACATTCTACAATGCAAGCTGCCCTAACGCTCTCACCACCATTCGCAACACTATCCGGCAAGCGGTTTCAAGCGAACGCCGCATGGCTGCGTCACTCATTCGCCTTCATTTTCACGACTGTTTTGTTCAGGTTAGCTCTAAACTACATTTGCATGCAGCTTAATTTTAATTTGTAAGAGTTTTTTTGCACTTTTGGTCTCAGGACTATAGTGGTACTATCAGGATTGATCCACGACTTTCAAACCTTACAATCTCGGTCCACGACTATATATATATTTTTTTGCAAAGTGGTCCTTCCGGCCTTTTTTCTGTCAATTTATCACCGGAGTAAGTACCATTTCTGGCAAAAGCAAGCCAGAAAATTGACGAAAAATGAGTCGGAATGACCATTTTTGCAAAAAAATAAATAAATAAAATTGTCGTGGACTAAGATTGCAATGTTATTTGAAAGTCGTGTATCAATCCTGATAGTGCCAGTATAGTTATGGGATTAAAAGTGGGAAAAACTCGCTTTTGTAACATAAAATACTTATGCATTCAAAGCCTATAATCTTAACTAAACATCATTTGATGGTGTTGTACGTTTAGGGTTGCGATGCATCAATTTTGCTAGATGAGACTCCTTCAATTGAGAGTGAGAAGACTGCATTGCCAAATCTTGGTTCGGCTAGAGGTTTTGATGTCATTGAGAACGCAAAAGCTGAGGTGGAGAAAATATGTCCAGGCATTGTCTCATGCGCAGATATTCTGGCAGTAGCCGCACGTGATGCATCAACTCTTGTGAGTCGTCTACTATACTATACTATGGAGAAATTATTTCACCCTCCAAATAATTCCTATTTCATAAGCTCCCCCTAATTTTTCTATCTTTAATTTCAATGGTGACTGTCCTTCGAGACTATCTTACATATTTTTATCCAAAAGACAGATCGGGTCAAAATGGAAATATAATACTACTAAAAAATATAATATTAATTTGAATTGGAATAAGGAGTTTGTTATTTATACGGAAAAATATAATACTTTTGAGGGGAAAAAATAATAATTTTAAATTAAAATGTAAAAGTTTTCCCTTATGAGTAACAAACATTTTATTCTTGATTAGTACAAGTTTTTGCCAAATTTCAATTCTTCATTAAATATCCGCTTTACAAAAGTCCATATATTATTCAGTACAATTACATAATATCATATACGGTTGTAGAAAAATTTATGCATGATTTGGCTCACTTGAATTGTCAAAATGTTAATAAGGTTGGAGGTCCATCATGGACAGTTAAATTGGGGAGGAGAGACTCCACGACGGCTAGTAAAAGTGTTGCAGAAACTGATCTTCCAAGCCCCTTTGACACTCTCGAAACCCTTATATCAAGCTTTGCAAGCAAAGGCCTTAATACGAGAGACCTGGTTGCTTTGTCAGGTATATCTTAATTCCATTTATCGTCTCTCAAGTTTATGTTTTTCCATTTTTAGTTCTTGAATTTAAATTTGATTTTTTGACCGTAAAAAATGTGTCATTTTAAATCTTCAGTAAGAAACTAAGAATCATGAAAACTAAAAATATAACATTATATTCCTAATGGCATGAAAGTTAAAAGTAACATATTCTTAATAATGAATGACCAAATATATTCTTATTAAAAACTTCAAAGACCAAAAGGGAACAAAACAATAGTAAGCATTAAAACTGAAATTAACTACCCTGAAAGAGTTGTGGGATAATACACTGAAGTAGAGTTTATCGCATGTACCCGATAACGGTTGTTGAATTGGCTTCCATGTTAACAAAAAATAAACAATAAAAAATAAATAAATAAAAAATACTCGAATTAACATTATATTAAATTATGTGGTCTAATGGTATCCGGGGTGGACTTCCAAGTGGAAGGTTGTGATTTCGAGCCTCAGTGGAGGCGTTATTGGCTCTTTGTGTTTCAGTAGGTTGAGAAAGTATATGAACAGATACTACAATGTAATAGAGCTAGTAGCATTCAAAAAAAAAAAAAACATTATATTAAATTAACTAGTATTTGTCCCGTGCGATGCACGGGAAATATGTTATAAAAATATACCCTATATGAGGTTTATTCATATATAAAAATTTTATATATGTGTGAATTGCTATGATAAAATTATGAACATATATAAATATATTTACAATTAAAATAATAATTGATATTTAAGGTGGGTGTTTACTACAAATCTTAAACTATATTAAAAATTGAGTTCATAGTATTTAATATTACAAAATTTTAAGGACTTAGTAAACTACAATAGTACTCTAGAAATTTCAAAGGTCTAAAAATTTTGATCCGCGGTGACTCTGAAAATTGTAATTCAATTACTATTGTAGTTTACTAAGTTCTTAAAAATTTGTAATATTAAATACTATGTACTAAATTTATAAATTGACCTCATTAGAATAATCTCAATTGAAGTTTATTTGTGAGTTTTTGGATGGATTGGATGAGGCAAGAGAGATGAAAATGAATTAAAGTTAATTTGAATTTTTATGCACCATGTAATAAGTAAATAAATAAATCTTATAACTATTATATAACCATAAGGTTTCTTAACTATAATATAACCATATGGTTTAATTTAGTGAGCAATTATTGTTACAATAATTGCTCACCAAACCATATAGCTATATTATAGTTAAGATTCATAATGGAAATCTATTTTAAAAAGACTAAGGCCCTATTTCGTAAAATAATTAGCCTATCAATCAATTTTGGTTTATTTGAACCAATATGAGTGTTTGATTAATTTATTTTTTGTAACAACTTATTGCTCCACAATGTTAAAATTTAAAAAACTGCTCAAGATAACTTTTCCGATAAGTTTTTTGATAAAGTCAATTTGCATGTAATCAACTATTAACTGACAACTAATTTACCAAACACTTTTTTACAATCAACTAATGCTATAAACTAGTCAAACTCACTAACTCAATCAGCTAATAGCTATTTACCAAACACCCCTAAATAATTGAAGCATGTGTTTTTTTTTTTTTTTTTTTTAAATGAAGCATGTGTTTTATCTCAACTAAAATTCTAAACTTATTGTTTGACTCTCATGATCATGACTTTTGGCATAAAACATATGCTCTATCACAACTAAATGATTAAATTTATAATTGGTTATTTATTATATGCTTAAAATAATAGCATTGATTGTTATAATAAATAATATATTTGTCTTGATTTATCCTGAATAGGAGCACACACAATAGGGCAAGCGCAGTGCTTCCTTTTCCGCGACAGAATATACGGCAACGGAACAGACATAGACAGCGGCTTCGCCGCCACGCGGAGACGACAGTGCCCGCAAGACGGCGGAAACGGCAACCTGGCGCCGCTGGATCTGGTGACACCAAACTCCTTGGACAACAATTACTACACAAACTTGATGCAGAGGAAGGGCCTCCTTCAATCGGATCAAGTCCTCCTCAGTGGAGGATCAACGGATAGCATCGTTTCAGAGTACAGCGCCAATTCTCGGGCGTTTTCAGCCGATTTCGCGGCGGCGATGATCAAAATGGGAGATATCGGCGCCCTCACCGCCCAAAATGGGATAATCAGAACGGTTTGCAGTGCAGTCAACCAGTAATATTATTGCATTTTGCATGCACACATTTAACATATTTTATTGAATTATATTATTAATAGTCTAAGTTGTTTTAATTATTTATTTCATTGATTGTAATAAGGTTGCATTAGTATTGCAACAAAATGAATAATACTAATATTTTTTTTTTTTTTCATTTTAATACTCCATTTGTCTTATTTTATGTGTTTAGTTCAAATAATGACAATCTTCATTTTATATTTTTAATAACATGACAGCTTTATATAAGTATGGAGAATATTGCAATACATGTCTTATAATGGTGTTTTCAAAAATTAGTTTGAGCTCCAAATTATTATATGTTGGATATTTATATAATAAATAGTTGAATAGATTATTTCCGACATGTCTATCGGTAGCATAAATGATATTTTGGTGTTGTGGAGTTGAAAATATTATTTATGTTTAGTAGGAAGTTTATGAGTTAATTGATCAAGAATGTTGGATATTTTTTCCCAATTCTGAGAAGTTAGACCGAAAGGTCACCTTCCGGGAAGTCCAAATTAAATTCTTGGTAGTTAACTTCTTCGATATGGTCGGAAGGAACACATTCGGAATGATCTGATCGGAAGGAACCATTTCGGAAAGAACTTATCGGAAGAAGTCAATCATAAGGAAAGCTCATTTTCTGGAAGGTTTTGGGAAAATTTATTCTTGATTAGTGTGTGTATAGCAAATTTAATAACCAAGGTCAATGAATTATTATATTTCTTATATGTGGATGACATACTTATTTTTTGGACTGATTTAGACTCAGTAAAAGAATTTCTCAGCACTAGTTTTTCAATGAAAGACATGGGAGAGGTTGTGGTTATCCTAGGTATTATGATAAAGGAAAATAATGGAACTATTTCTTTAACACAAGCTCATTACATTGAGAAACGGTTGAAGAAGTTTGAGCACTCTGATTGTGCTCCGGTGTCTATTTCGATGGGAGTGCGGTGTCCCAATTGGAGGATTCAACTCTAATTGACTGCTTAATGTATGTCATGACTAGTACTCGGCTGGATATCGCATTTGTAGTAGGGAAATTGAGTAGGTATACTAGCAACCTAGTATGACTCATTGGCAAGCTTTAAGAAGAGTACTAAAGTATTTGAAGAAAATCATAAATTATGGTTTGGTATATTCAAGTGAGTCTTCTATCTTAGAAGGGTATTCGGATGCAACTTGGATTTTCAATCAAGAATATTATTCTTCAAATAAGTGGTTGGGTATTTTTATTACGAGGTGGTGGAATTTCCTGGACTTCTAAGAAGCAAACTTGTATCACAAATTTAACAATATAATGGCTTCGGAATTTATTACACTTGCATCAACATGTAGAGAAGTCGAGTGGATAAGGGATTTATTATTAGAAATCCCGGTATAGCCTAAATCGATGGCTCCTATATTAGTACATTGTGATAGTGGTATACTTTGGCTAAGGCTTAGTAATGACTAATGATATATGCTCAAAATATAGTTTGACTTTACAAAATTTAAAGCATTATTAATTTGGTATCACTTTACAATTAACTATAATAATTTTTTATCAAATTTAACAGTGTAATATTTTTTTAATATTAATTCAAAGACTATAAATAATACAAATTTGGGGAGTAGTTTTTTAATATTAATTCAAAGACTCTATAAATAATACAATTTCGGGGAGTAGTTTTAATTTGAATCGTTCTAATCTATGTTGGTCGCGGTGAGGGTTAAGTACAAGTTTAGAGGCAATCTCCAAAAGCATCCCAAGAGTTAAACTTATCACACACCACTTGAGCACATTTGAGAGATAAGATTGACAATATACCACACCCAAAACCAATGTACAACCTCATCATGTCACCATCCAGAGTATGATCATTCAAGAACACAAGGTGCACCACAATTGTTAACAAGAAAGCACGAAGTGCACCCTTTTCACTGATGAATCAAGTTGATCTTCCAAAATCTCCAAAGTATGAGTAGAATTAGGCTATTTGATTAGATCTTTATGATAAAGGTGTATTAAATTGAGAGGTCATGGGTTTAAGTTATCATACAAATAAATATTTTAAACTTAAATCAATTAAATTAAAATATATTTAAATAAAAATAATAATAGTAACTAAACGGGCAAACCCGTGTAACCCTCGGGTTGAACCCGTGTAACCGACGAGTTACACGGGTCGGGCCCAATCCGGTCCGGGCTGAAAATTACATTGCCCAATCCGTTCAAAAAACGGGTTAAACGGGTCCGACTCGACAAGTTGGGCCCGTTTTGACAGCTCTATTAGCAAATACGGAGTACCAAACAGAGAAACATGGGACTTCGAGCTTTTGATTCAAACAAGTATTACCGCATAATAAAGCAAGGCAAAGCAAGAGAATTAATTTTATTTTTGGTCCTAAATTTGTAGGTGACAGTCCATTTCTAGTTATTTTTCAAAACATTCATTTTTTGGCATGACCAATTTAGTCCTCCAATGTGGTTAAATACAATAACATTTCGATCTTTTTTTATACAATTGAGTGATCTTTTTTATACCGTTGATTTGACCTATTATATTTTTATTTTTATTTAAAAGAACTTTATAATTTAAGACCTAAATTCCATTTTATTTTTCCGAATTTAAACGGTTTTGTTGATGGACTAAAAATGGTCATGACACTATAACAATAGGATCAAAAAGAAATGTACTAAAAAACAAAGACTAAAAGTGAATTGACACCTATAAATTTAAGACCAAAAATGAAATTAACTTCAAAACAAGGGCAGGCTTTCATGATCAAAATGCTACCCATGTGAATTCAGATGTAACTATGGTACAATAGCTTAAAAGAAAGGAGACTTGGAACTTCAACAATTTAAAATAATCTCCAAAAGGCACCATGAAAAGCATATATAAATATGTTTGGAAGTGTCACTCTAAGCCAGCAATGCTTAACTGTTCCAGTCTCCAAAAAATGTTCAACTTATCTCCCCCTCTCAAAGTGAAGTCTTGTTCTGCTAGATCCTCCTTCAAATCCATCCCTAGTGGACCCAGCACTGGCCTTCATGGTACCTCCACTGCCTACTTTGTCCAAGGCTTTCTTACCCTTCTTGACCTCTGTCAAGAACTGATCCAAACCAAATGGATCTGCCTCCTCAGCCTCCTTTTCGAACTCTACAGCTCTATCTCTTGGGGCACCCCTATCAGATGTTCCCGCAAATGCTCTGTCGGGTTTAAATCGATCTGTCTTCATAATCTTATCGAGTTGCTCATCTGCGCCTCCATACATCTCAGCATCACCATCTTTCTTTGGCCTATAAAGTGTAGAAAGGGTAGGTTGAGTAGTAAAGAGACCCTTGTCGTAAATGTTATATGCATCATCGGTTGCAAATCCAGATTCCATCCCCTTCTCCTGGTTAAATAATCTTTGATCATACATGACCTCTCCCCTGGCGGCACCCGTAGAGGCCATCCCGAGGGCCATTTTTTCACTAACGTCACGGTCCCTATCCCTCGTGATCTTACTCTTCTTGCCCATTGCAGCATCTTTAGCCTCCAATCTTCTCTCCCTTTCCCTCTCTCGCCGCCTCTCTTCACGAATTTTGTCTCTTTGTAATTTTTCATCTCTTTCCTCCCTATTCTCCTTTGGTACATCTCTTACACGGTCAAAGTCCACATTCATACCATCATTCAAGGCCCCCCTTTCAGAAACCGTAGGGGCTGATGCTGGAGGTGCAATGCCAGTTCGCTCAGATCTTGCCTTCCGGGCCAGCTCACGAAGCTCCATCTCCTTCTTTTCTTTCTCTTTCATCATCATCTCCTTTTGCACCTTAGACCGCATTGCAACTGCTTCTCTAGCCTTCTGTTCTGCAACATACAAAGCCTCTGACAGTTTTGCGAAATTGTCATTGATTTGGACCTCTTGAAGCCCCCTACCATCTGCAGCCAGGCGCTTATCAAGTGGGATCGTATACCCTTTCGGATTCTTCCAATTAGAAATACAAGGCGGTATCTTCCAATCCTGTTGGTCCTTCACAGTCACAGGACGAGGTGGAGAGTGCATAACGGGCACAGGTGGAGAACCAGAAGCCTTAGGAACTCTCTTATGTTTAAACTTGGGTGGCTCCAATGGGTCCACGGGCATCTCCACCATTCGAATAATCCTCTCTTTAGCACCCGAATTAAAAGCCGCGGACTGCTGTGATGGCTTGTACTTAATAAACTTCGAATCTGAAGACTGAGCCGGAACATTTTTGGGCTGTGCAGCACTTAACCGTACATTCACAATCCTCTCAAGTGCTGATTTTGTCGCCAAAGTAGTGTCCTCAATTATCTTCTCCTTCTCATCCTCATCCATCTCTTCATCTTCTTCATCCATCACAACCTTGGGAACAAGATCCTTATGCTGCGAGTACACAATTTTCTTCGAATTCTCATTCTGTCTCACAATCGCATCATACCTCACATCACCATGCTCATCGACAGTAACAGGCAATGTCCTGCTCCCGGGTTTCCAGTCCTTCTTTCTCCCCATATCAAGAGGATACTGTGCATAATGAATTTCCGGAAACGCTCCTCCATCCCCGAAATCCTCAAGCTTAGATGGCCGAAATCCAGCTCTTTTCAAATAAGGGAGCACTGGATTCGCCTTTATTGCCGCAGTTTTCTCCACCTCATCTGCACTATACCTGTTCTTAAACCATGGGTCATTTGAGTGGTCATAATGTGCAGTACCACTTGACTTCACTGGTGGGAGAAAATCCCTCAGAGAAGCCATGTTTTAAAACCCAGAACTTAATGAACTTCAGAAACTGCAAAACAATAATAGTAATTATCAAAGACACAAAAATATATCACTTAGCATTTAACAAATAATTGAAGATAATATATATACAGGCACATTCACACATGTCCCATGGAAACACATCTGATGAACAAATTAATATAACTGAAAGTTAAAAACTTAAAAATGTTGCAGATAAAAGCACATAAACTCCATGAAAACCCATCAAGTGAACTAATTAAAATTAAATTACAGTTTCAGGTCGACCTCAACTATTATTACAGAGGTGGAAAAATATAAAACCGTAAATGATGAAAATTCCAACCAGAATATGGGAAAATGTCAAAAAAAAAAATTCAAAATTTAAAAACTAATATAAATTTTGTGCCTAAATTTGAAATCCAAATTGAATATCAACAACAAATGCTATAATCTACAATTTGATTTAAACATCTAAATCCTAACACCAATAGCAGACTCCAAATATAAACAAAAGAAATACAAAATAGTGGATCAAAACTCTAAAACTAAAGCAATCAGGGAGCTTCGCTTACAGTAAGGAAATCCAGAAGACGCTATGAGAAATCGACGAGAGGAAGGAGGGTTTCACCTCGCAAGTCATCTTGAAACAGATGAAAAAATGGAAAATTACCATTTTAATCTCTCAATTGTTTTTTAATTGTTAATATTATTTTTAATTTTTAATTTTAATTAATTTGATTCTTGAATTGTTTACAATTTATTTCTGGTAATTTTTCCAATTTTAAAATTTAGTCAATTTAATTTTCAAAAGGTTAATTGATGAAATTTTAAACAATTCGAGAATCAATGTTTGAAATTAAAACTAAGGACTACATTAACAATTAGAAAACAGTTGAGGATCAAAATGGTGATTTGCCTATATCATATTAAGAGATGATTTAACTCTCCCAAAAAAAAAATGCTCCATAATAATAATATTTAGAGATGATTTTATCAAGAATAGGGATTAAAGGATGTAGAGAACTCCGTTGGAGTGATAGTCGCCATCCAAAATGGATAAACTATTCAACACCCATGCCACTCTCCGACAACGACACCATTTGAAAGTTGATTTTAGTGGTGATGAAAATAGAGTGTGTGTGAGAGCGTATCCTCACATCGGATATCTTCATAAGGAATGGACCGGAAGGGTGTTGAATAGTATGTGATTAAACGCAAGAGTGTAGAGTGTTTGGAAGCTAGTTCAAGAGTGAGTTGCAAGCTATTAAGGAACAACTAGGTGCAATGATAAAGCAATTTACTAAGGTAATTAACAACCAATAGTAAAACTAAGGGCTTGGAATAGGTCACTTAAGTGTAGATGATATATTGTATCTAATGCATTGACAAAGAAATTAGTGACACATTACTAAATATCAATGCCACACTTGTGGAGATTGGACAAGCCCCATGTTTATGGTGACTCAAGCCAATTGAAGCAATTCATCAAACACATGGTGTTCCTGTCTCCTTCTAACCCCTTTTATCTCAAAGGTGAGTTCGATTAGTGAGAGGTGTAGCTATGATGTTTCCCTATTCTCATATTTATAATACCTTTTCCAAGCACCTCTTGCAAAATTTAGTCACAATCACACTAGAGTCAATACAAACCACCAAGCTCACAACTAGGGCCATTATCTGTTAAATAATCATTTATGCGCTATAACTTTAATGCGGAAGCACAATTAATATTGAATCACATGTAAATCAAATTAATCAACTAAACAATGTTCATGATCATGAATTTTTAATTAAATAGAAAAGATAGAACTTACTTGGTTCTATTGGAAATATAATCTTTAAATTAACTCAAATTAGTAATGCTTCACATCTCTGATCTGTATACCTTAATCACCTCATGATGATATGGAGACTAGAAACTTAGTGACTTGAAACCGTTAAGATCCCTAGAGTTTTCCTGGGTATGTATAGATGTGATGAGAAACCCTCTTTCAAGAGGAATGGGATACCTCCTTTTAGGAATAGAAATCCCTTTAGGAATATGAGACCTTCTTTTAGGAATAGAAATCCCTTTAGGAATGTGAAACCCATAACCTTTTTCCATTATACATCTTTTAACGCTTATACACTTAAATTTTAATAGAATGAGACGGAAGGAATTTCACCCAGTAATTCCGCCTTTACACATCACTAATCATCACCGTGAGTACTTTATGGAATTACAACCTTTATTATATAAACTAGTTTTTTTAACACGCTTTGCGTGAATGCGATAATGCCCAATGATTATTTATAAATAAGTATTTTAAAGTATATCAATGCAATATTATATATGAGATGTTTATGCATAGGTAAATAAAGGTTAAATTTGTTTATTTAAATCGGTAATTTAAAGTATATAAATTCAAGATAATATATGCGAAATTGATTATAATTGTAACTAAAATAAATATTTACAACTATGTAATAACGCTAGTCTAAATACTTAGTCTAAAAGTGATAGTCTAAATAAATACTACTTTTGGTTTAAATTTCTCTAATTCATCTTAATTCTCTTTTGGGTAGCATTGTCATTGTTTTCATCTTCAGTACATGTCTTCTCTCTCTTTTTTTTTTTTTTTTTTTTTTTTTTTTTTTTTTTTTTTTTTTTTTCTTTTTAGTGTGTCATGTGCAATTAGGTTACTGGTGGCAGCATAGAGGGATTTATCATGCAATGAGATTATGGTGTAGGAAGCTTTAAATTTGTCTTGCTGTGTATATGACTGAGATTTTAGTTGTAATATGATCTCTTTATCTTACAAACACCTATTGATATTTAGTAGTGATAGTTTTTCCCCTACATGTTTCATATGTTGTGAAATGTGTGTCGTAGGTTATCATGTGAAAGTATTTATCGAACAAAATATTAATATTTATTATATTTATATAAAATACTTAGTGAAGATATATATATAGAGTTAATTACCAAAATGGTCCCTTGACTATAGCAAAATTACCAATTCGGTCCTTGACTATTTTTTTTAACCAATTAAGTCCCTCAACTTTAAATTTTTTTACCAATTTGGTCCTCCGTTAGTTTGACCGTTAGTCAACCGTTAACTTGGGACCAAATTGGTAATTACGCTATAGTCAAGGGACCATTTTGGTAATTAACTTTAGGGGTGCGCAATTTGGTTTAGTTTTCTCGAATCAAACTTTACCGAACCGAGCTAGTTTGGTTCAGTAATATACCGAACAACCGAACGGTATTGGATTCTTGTATACCGAACGGTTCGATAAAAAACCGATCCGAATTATTCGGTAAAAAATTGAACTGAACCAAATACCGTTTGATTTTTTTTTTCAAAAAAATATAATAATAATAATAATTAATTAATTAATTAATAAAAGAGTTAATCAACGATTTGGTCCCTCAATTATTGTCAAACTGTGAATGTTGTCCTTTAATTCCTTAATCATCGATTTAGTCCCCGAAAATAACTGTTTTTAGTCATTTTAGTCCCTCCGTCCGTTTTCCGGCTACACTCCGGTTAGGCCTCCGATTTACCAGGGTCATTTGTGTCATTTCATTTGTTCATTTGCTTCGTTCATCTACTGTAATGTTTCTCCTCTGCTCATCGAAGCACAGTATATGGCCACTTTCCATATATGGTTTATAGACATCACAAAGAGAGAGAACAGTTGAGCTACCAAAAGCTTCACCAAAAGACTTCAAATCCACACCCCTTGCAGTTCTCAGAGAGAGCATGACAACATCCATGGCTATGTCCTGGGCATCCACATTATTGTTACCAAAGCAATTTACTGTTCCATCCTCTAAACTCTGCACTTATCCTGTGTAGTCTTTGAGCTTCCTTGGCTTGGAAAACCTTGATCCATTGAGGAAACTGGCTGCCCCGAGTCCAAAAGCATAGAAAGGTTTGTTTTCCCAGTATGTAAAGTTGTGCTTGCACTGGTAACCAGTCTTGCAGTAGCTACTGATCTCATAATGGTCAAAACCAGCTTCAGATAGCATCTTAGAAGCCATTCTATAAAACTCGGCAGATTGGTTTTCAGAAGGCAAGGGGAACTCTCCAGGAGTATACCTGCAAAAACAAAACTTTAATGCATCAAACCCCAGCTGATAGTTCCTCATTACAAACTGGTTATACTAAGTTATTATTCCCATGGTTTTGATCAACTTTACTTTCTTGATGAACAAAGGAAAGATCGAAGAACTATTTACCCTTTCTAATATGGAAGAAGCTCTTTAGTATTCAGAACTATATGATCAAATTTTCAGATTAAAGAGAGGCAATTCATTCATAAAAGCCAAAAGACTGCTGTATAATAGTGGAATAAATATTACTCTTAGCTAGTCATGAAACTCACAGTATCCCAAATTTGGTGCCTTGTTCAACTTGTAAATCATATACCGAAACATGATTAGGCTGCACTTCAATGGTGCGCCTCAAGCTCTCTTCCCACATTTGTGGTGTCTGAAGAGGAAGAGATGATATGAGATCCATGTTCCAATTCTCAACCCCGCTTAACCCAACAATCTCTATAGCCTCATGAACCTCCTTCAAACCGTGAGCTCTACCACAAGCTTTCAGCAGCTCCTCCTGAAAGGCCTGAACTCCCAAAGACACTCTGTTCACTCCCAACTTCATCATCTCCTTCAACTTCACAGCGTCAAATGTTCCCGGGTCCATCTCCATTGATATTTCAGCACCGCAGCACAAACCGAATTTTGAATTCAATGCCTCCAGGACTAACGAAACCAGCCGAGGGGGCACGAGAGAAGGTGTCCCGCCACCGAAAAAGAAAGTTTCGAGAGGCGGATTGGTGTTTGAGTTCACCGGGGTGGCCTTAATTTCTCTGCAAATGAGTTCCACGTAGTCGACAATTCGCGGGTCATCATCTGGCCGGGAAGAGGAGGCACCGAGGGCTAGGATGGGGAGGGAAGCAAATGAACAAATGAAATGACACAAATGACCCTGGTAAATCGGAGGCCTAACCGGAGTGTAGCCGGAAAACGGACGGAGGGACTAAAATGACTAAAAACAGTTATTTTCGGGGACTAAATCGATGATTAAGGAATTAAAGGACAACATTCACAGTTTGGCAAAAATTGAGGGACCAAATCGTTGATTAACTCTTAATAAAAAGTAAATCCAAGTCCCTTACTGCTTGCTCTGCCGTTAAGCTCATATTTTCACGGGTATCTCTCGTAAATGTTTTATTTGATTTCTTTATGGTTTGTTAACAAAAGTTCTATATTATGTGTTATGGTGTTTACATAGTCCATATCCAAAGTCTAATATATAACAAAATAGCAATCCAAAGTTCAAACGGTATTCGGTTCGGTTCAGTTTTTACCGAACAATTCAGTTCGGTTCGAGTTTTTACCGAACCGTTCGGTATACAAGAATCTATTACCGTTCGGTTGTTCGGTATATTAACTAATCTAACTAGTTTGGTATGGTTCGGTTCGAGAAATCTTAACCGAATTGCCAACCCTTAAAGTTAATTACCAAAATGGTCCCTTGACTATAGCGAATTACCAATTTGGTCCAAAGTTAACGGTTGACTAACGGTCAAACAAACGGAGGACCAAATTGGTTAAGATTTTTAAAGTTGAGGGACTTAATTGGTCAAAAAAAATAGTCAATGAC